TGGGTTAATTTAAGATGTAAGAACAGTTAGCAAGAAGCCTGCCACGGCCATACAGTTTATAAGTGATATAAGCGTCTGAGTGATTATTTTATACGTGGGTTGTGGGACTGCGGGGCTTGGTGGAACTTGGAGAGAAGCCCTCCAGCAACATAGGGCAGATAAAGGTGAAGGACTGTGGAGGTGGACACTTACACTTGGTGAATGACACAGGGGCAGAACAGTTCTGTTTAACTAGGGCATCAGAAAGGTAACAGAGGATCATCAAATCAAAAGGACACGTGTTCCCAGTATTTATTATTTTTATTAATTATTATTATTATTTTTTAGTGCCAGAAAGTGATGAGATCAGAGATCATATGTTGATTTTTGGCTAAAATATTAATCAATTGAAATACAATCAGTTCATTATAACTAACTAACATTTTATGGACTCTGTTTTTAAAATTTCTTACTCATTAACATTTATTTGCAATCTCTAAATCCATACTTACTGATAGTTTTGTAGGCACTTATGGGTATAGTTAGATTAGTGAAACATTTGATACATCCTATATGAAATGTTCCAGCTCTAGTTAAATAAAGAAATACTGAAGTTTTTTTTGTTTCTACTCTCATGCTGTAAACAAGTGCACATTTTTTTTGTGGTCCAGTAGGTGGTGTTTTCCTCAAATTTGTGCTTTTTTACAGTTTATTTTACAGCGTAAAATGGCCTGAAACATAGCATTGATTGCTGCATAATGGTTGTAATGTGAGAAGGTTCTGATATTTCTGAGAAATATATGTATTAAGTACATTTCCTTTGAGAATTGGGTACGTGCTGTTGACCATGAGGTCAATGCTAAGGAAGCCAAAAATAAGTTAACTACAATGAATAAAACAAGATTATGTATTGATTAATTGACAGAAGGTCATAACTAGAGGCTCTGGGGAACTAATCTTATGTGTCTTCTAAAAACAATGGTTTAATATTTGGTCACTTATTACGTGGGGAAGCTTTTCAGAACATAATCACAGATGGTAAAATTGACTGCATATGTGTATTATATGGCTTCTGGAAACCTAGAATCATGCTAAAATCTGTAAAAATTTTATGTGTGGTGTGATCTCTGTTACAATGTCCTATATAGCTGTATATATGAAATTACTGTGAAAATGGTTTAAATATTAATAGATGTTAATGAACCAGAATTATTATAAGGATACCCTACCAAAAGCATCTCACACATACATTATAACATAATAAATAACCCAATGCAACAGTATCGAGAATGCAAGTTGGAGATCATAAACAAGATGACATTAAAATGATCATTCTTATGTATTCCATGGACCTCTGACCTTTTACTCATGAGCAGCCAGTTACCATTTTCACTAACATCTCACTTGCATTAAAATATCAAAAAGAAAGATAAGCATACAAGTACCTAATTTTGAAATTTATTGATTCTATAGGGCACCTATCTAATTCCAATACTGAATATGGGAAATTGACAGCCAGCTACAAAACAAACCTTATAGTTAGGAAACAGAATAGCTCACTGTACTCATTGGTCTTAGTTTTTCTATGTCTGAATTTCAAATCACATATTAAAACTCTACTTAATGCATGTTGAGGAAATATTAGAGATTAAGATTCATTATGTGGTGCTGAAAACCATTAAGTTGGAGGCAGAGCAGCATGCCATTGTTGAGATGATATCTAAGACCCATCCTTTCAGATGAGACAAAAATGCACCCATGAATAGAATCTTGGCAGCAGCCTCTGCAAATGCTAATAATACACACACACACACACACACACACACACACACACACACACACACAATCATATGGCTATCTCTTTTGAGAAGCTGGCACTCACATCTTGAGTGTTTACCATTTTTTCCCAAGTGCCTCTCTCTCTGCTTTAATGTCTGTCTTAAATCTATATTATAGTCTTTCTTGATAATGTACAATTTCATCTAATATATATAGCTATATACTTATATGGTGTATGCATATATAACACACATATATTATACATTATCATATCATAACATGCACACGTGTGTTTGCACGTGCGTGCGTGTGTGCGCGCGCGCACGCGTACACACACACACACACAGAGACACACACAAGCATGGCAGAAAAGATGGTTCAGTGATTAAAAGCACTTGTTGCTTTTGCAGATGACTGAATTTTGTTCTCAGTACCCATATCATTGCTCACCAGTGCTGGGAACCAAACCTTCAGGGGATCTGGAACCTTCTTCTGGTCTCTTTGGGTACACTGACATATACAAACTCGTACACAGACAAACAGGTATATAATACAAAAAAATTAAAGAGCCCAGTATTTTATTCTTAAATTGAAAGGGAGATTGTATGTTAGCTTTACATTTTTCATTTCTACCAAGTTTTTAAATGTGGTTTACTTATTATACTGTCTACTTACTATAAACCAATTTTTAAATGTGGTTTTTATCTGGGTAGAAAAATTAACAATGGTCATTTGCATTTAAATGTTAGTTAATAAAACTATTTAACGTAATACTTCAAGGAGTTCACACAGAAGACAATAATAATAAATTTCTTGAGTTAAACTGACAGCTCTGCTATTAAATGCAGACATTTGAAAATTATTTTATTTTTGTGATGTGTTTGAATGTCTGTGTATGTGGCTCATATATGAATGTCCATAGGCAAGTGCATCTGTAGGTGTGCTCACGTGCACATGTCTATCTGGAGGCTACAAGTCCACTCAGGGATTCCTCTGCTGCCATCCTCCTTGCTGTTTAGGATGAGGTCTCTCACTGAACCCCAGCACTCATGGATCAGCTATACTCGCTGGCCAGTTAGCTCCTGGGAATGATCTGCCTCCACCTGGGATTACAGGAGTACAGTGCCGCACTGGTTCATGCTGGGGCTCAAAACATAGGGCCTCTTGCTTGTATAGCCAGCCCTTTATTCACTGTACCATCTACACACACCCCACCATTTAAAGATTTCTCAGTGTTTTGGTGGTACAAAGACAGTGAAAAGATGTTGCAGTGTGTCTTGAAGAATAAGAAAATAATCATAAAATAAAAAGTATTAATATAGGCTTGGCTGTTAAGAACACTTGCTGCTTTTGCATGGGACCTAAGTTCTGTTTCAGCCCTCACACAGTGGCTTAAAACTGGATTACCTCCAGTTCTAGGGGATCTGACTCCATTTGACTCCTCTGAGGGCACCAGGCATGTCCATGATGCACAGACATACATGAAGGCAAAAACACTCATATACCTAAGATGAAATGACCTAAAGATTAAAAAAGAAAACAGTATACAATATACAAAAATGAACAAATACCTTTGGAGGTGTTTCAGATCCTGGATATTCTCTCTGATCTAGTTTTTTCCAGCGATCCATTAGTTTGGTTACCATGGGTGTATTAAAATCTACCAACTGGAATCCAGTGACATTTGCTCCACCGTGTATAAATCTCTCAAGAGAAATATCCTTGAAACCCTGTTAAATTAGTAGAAAGCCTCATCAAATTTAGTTCATTAAACATTTTGGTTCTTAAACAGTATGTAGGTTAATGCAGATTTCCTTCCTAGCCCATATAATCACAATCCTGTTGATCAAAGAAGAAACATATTATTCCACTGATAACTAAGTAAATTGTCAGTGAGAGTTCCGGGTATGTGAACTAATAGCCAATACTATGTACCAGGCTTTTATATTATATCAAGATTTACTATATGCCAGGTTCTGTGATGATTACGTAACAGTTTATCCATCTTAATTATCCCTTGGTTACTGGATAGCTATGATTAATTTTTTTTTTTTTTTTGGTTTTTCAAGACAGGGTTTCTCTGTGTAGCTTTGCACCTTCCCTGGGACTCACTCTGTAGCCTAGGTGGGCCTCGAACTCACAGATATCCACCTGCCTCTGCCTCCTGAGTGCTGGAATTAAAGGCATGTGCCACCACTGCCCAGCCGAGCTCTGATTAATTTTAAGTAGCGTAAGGAAAAAAATCTTGCAAGATTACATGCATATACAATAGACAAGTTTTGATCTGATGAATTGATGGTATGTTGATCCTTTCCACTTTGTACTCCTTCATATTGTTATAGAAAAGAGTGTTTTTAATTTTATTAATTGTTATAACATTACAAGGAAAGGAAAGGCCCCAAAGAAACCTAGGCTTTGATTCTCACCTTTGTTGCATTCTGACTTTAGATTACCTCCATGTGAAAACAGCAGGGGAATACTCCCAGCATGCATTCAGTATTTGTGAATGATTAATAATTAATTCACTAAACAGATATTTATATTGGGCCTATTATGTGCCAGCCAATTTGACAGCTCATCGGTAACATTCTCATTTCATTGAGAAATAAGCTTGACAACACAAAGCAAATTCATGCTTTAGAAATGGGAAAACACTGCCCATCAATCTTTATCCACTAAACCGTCTGTGGAGCATTTGTGTGCTTTTACCATTGCATAGGGCAGACCCACAGGCAGGCAAATCATTTCGCTGCTTTCTAAAAGCCACAGTAATTCAGCTCTTGCATTAGCTGCTAATTGATGAGATTATTATTTTCTTTCATTCTTAGCTGAAATATAAGGTCTGCTAAGCCTTCTGTGTAGCTTTAGTCACAGCTGCAAGACACAGGCAAACTGCAGCCCTTAGGGACACTATCAGATGCAGTCTGTCAGACAGTACACCAAAGGTAAAGTAAAAACAATTATTGTGTCTGATTGTAACAAACATCTGTCAGTTATGGTTTGAATGAATGGTAAGTGGCTTGGCTAATTTTGGCTATATTTGTTTGAGTACAGGCAATATTTCCCCCTTCATTTATGTTCTTATGATTTTATATAGAAAATTGATAGGATCTAGACCATGACCCAGTTTCCTTGGCAACAGTTACTTTGGTAACCATTTAGTTTTTGTTGGAATTTACAGAAAGCCATAGAACTGAAGGGCATCTAGGGCCACACTGTAATGGAGTCCCTTACTCCCCAGTTACCATTGGTTTACTATCCAAACAAATGATGTTCCTGAGGGCAGGGGTGAGTCAGGAGAGCTCCCTCTCCTGTAGAAACGGCCTCCTATGTTTGCCTGCACTTCACAGTGGGTAATGAACTCTGTAGATTCATTCCCAACTTGATCTCCTTTTTAATTTCCACTTGTAATTTGCAGATCTTCTAATGGGGAAATGTTTAAAATTATAGGTGGCTGATATCTGTGATGATGTTTGTCCATCTATAAGTTCATTATATCATCAATGTAAGCAAAAGCCCATCTTTTATGTTTTCTCTGATTTAGATCAATATTTCTGCTGTATTTTACACACTAAGTCATGTAAAGGCCACTTCAGTACAGTTACCAGATCAAGAAGAATGAGGAAGATTCTTTTAGAAATTACTCTGAAGAAATGAACCTTAGGTAGATACTTCTAATGTACATGTAAATTAGGGCAGAAAATTTGAAATAGACAGGAAGCACAAAAGGAGAATTAGGACAATGTTGGCAAGTTGATATTCTCTTAACTGGGTCATTGAAATTGTATAAAACTGCCAAATTAGATGTTTGATGAATTGTGGCTGGTTCTCATGTTAAAGTTAATCAAATACTTAAACATGGATGAATCATTTACTGTATGTATCATTGGTTTATCTTTGATTGAGGTATGTACGGTGTCTATATATATATATATATATATATATAGTGTGTGTGTGTGTGTGTATGTGTGTGAGAGAGAGAGTGTGTGTGTAAGAAGTAGATTCAATTAGTATTTAGTTACACATGTTGAATATGCTATAACTTTATACTTTATGATATATCTAAGTGTTTTGTTAGATACAAACTGAATTCATTTAAAATTTTAAAACCTAGGAAAGAATATAACTCTAACTTTGTGCCAAGATTCTCATATTGCTATTGGCAATCATACTTATATTGTTCAACAGCTGAAGAAAGAGTAAATACAAAACCAGAGTAATGTATCTAAGGTCAGCTCCTCCAGGAGCCTGTGGGTATGTTCCAATGAGTGTCTACTGTGTGTCGTGGTTCCTTGGATATATTATTTATTTACATAAGAACTTATTTATTCTTTACAATCAGACAGGTCAGAGCTTTGGATTTACCTTTGAGACTTAATGATCTATATGATCTTGGGTAAATTACCCAAGACTTTATTTTCCAGTCTATAGAATACAGATAGCTATTTTAAAGGACCAATTAAAACAAATTAAATAACAACAAAAAAACCCAAGCATAATGACCAAAGCTGAGGAGTACAGCAGGAAGAGCAGAAGTTCTGGTACAGAGAAAAGGTGAAGAGCCATTTCTACGGTAAGAAGGAGGAACCTCCTGGCCTGAACAAATTGATGGGAGCCAATTTCTTATTACTGTGCCAAAGGACATTGGAACCTTTTTAGTACAGAGTAGGTTTAAAAGAACAATTTGATGAATGAAAAATAATATTTACGATTAGGGCACACAATCATTTGTGAAGCCAGAAGGACCCAGAAGACAATTCAAGTCTTTAAGGATAACTCTCTAAAAGAGGTTATTGTAACTCTTCACTAAGATCCTCTGGATGGAGGTAAGTGATGAGTGCTACAAAGAGAAAGCAGCAGTAGGTATATGGGAGTTGTTTGGTTTGGAAAAGTAGTACAATTGGTGGACTGGGAAAGAGACCTCATAGTGCAGTAAGGTAAAAATCTTAGCAGCTATCTTCATTAAGTTAAACATTAAAAAGTTGAGATGAAAGGATTTATGTAGAGCAGTGTTGAGCTCACTCTGATAAAAGACTGTAAAAAACAGATACAATGAGCCAAAAGGAAATACATACTTCTGTGTCTAAGTCTCTTAGAGATTTCTAAAATAATACTTATTATTAAGCTATCATCTGCTCTAAAAAATAACTCTAGGTAATTTGTGTGGCTGAATAACTACAAACATACTCTTTGAACTATACAAAAGATGTAGGAAAGGAAAAGAGATTTCAGACATCGTCCATCTATAAGTTCCGTTCATCTTTAATATGCAGCTGTTAACAGAAAGGCCGTTGTGTCAAATCTCTAGACCTTCTTGGACTCTGGTGGCTTGAATGAGAATGAACCCGTTGGCTTATATATTTGAATAACTGATCCCCAGTTGGCCAAACTGTTTGAGAAGGATTAGGAGGTATGGCCTTGTTGGGGGAGGCACGTCACTGGAAGTAGGCTTTGAGGTGTCAAAGGCCCAAGCCCTTCCCAGTTTGCTGTCTCTCTGACTCATAAATGTTTTCTCAAGATGAAAGCTCTCAGCTATTGCTCCAGCGTCATGCCTGACTGTCTGCTGCATGTTTCCAGCCATGGTGGTCAGGCACTCTGACCCTGAAAACTGTATGTCCCAAATAAAGTCTTCCCTATAAGTTGCCTTGGTCATGGTGTCTTACCACAGAAATAGAAAATTACTAAGACAAACTCTCAGTGGGCTCAGGCTTGAGTAACATGGGAAGGGATCATAAATTAAATTAATCTGACTAGAGGTGAAGTACTAGCATACTCCCAGTAACTGTAACAGCTAGGACATGACACTACTATGACGAGAAAAATGCCAATTTATGCCCATTTTGTCAGGGTAGAATGAAATATGAACTGAATGATAGCAAAGTGAGAAAATAAATTCAACTTAAAGGCAATACAAGACAATCACAAACATGGCTGAGTATTGACAACCAATTGCATCTTTACTCATAAAGAAATTGGAAAATATTTTAAAAAATAATTAGAATCTGCTTTGATTTCAGCCAATCGTATTAAGAAGGTTGGATTTCTATGGCATTCGCTACTTTGTTTTTTTGGCTTATTCAGTTATTTTATGTTTGCTTATTTGCTTGTATTGACTTTTTGGAGACAGGGTCTAGGCTGCCTAGAACTTACTATGAACCCCATACAGGCCTTGAATTCATAGCAATCCTCCGGCATTAGACTACTAAATGCTGGAATTGCCGCTGTAAGTCATGATCCCTGGCTCTCCTTTAATTTTTCGTTTAATGAGTATCTTACTAAGTTTTCCAAGCTCACCTTGAATTTACACAGCCCAGGCTAGCCTTGAAGTTACTATCCTCCTGCACCAGCCTTCCAAGTGCTGGGATTATAGACATGAACCACCACACCCAGTTAGAGGATTCTCATTTTAAAGTAGCATATTTAAATCCAGATTCTCTAGGTTTTAAACCTTTTTTAAATAAAGGGTATTGTTGATCTTCATAAAAAATCATGCTTATGAATTTACAGTGTAATTTCCCACATATTGATGTTTATTTAGCTTTATTTTCTTTTTGGTAAATATAGGTTTTACTCTATATCTACTGATTTGATTTTGAAACTGTAACTAAATCATTCTGCTAAAGTGAATCTGGAATGTAAGTAGCCACCGGCTAATAAGGGTAGCCAGTTTTCATGACAGGTGAAGTAGTAGTCACCCATTGATTGTAAGCTATAATTAAGTAAATATAATTACTTTCAAAAATTATTTCAGAACATTTGTTATATTATAAATACAATAGATTTCATTTTTGACCTTGCAGCCTATATACCTGCTGAACTTATGTATTAGCCCATAATTATTTTTCTTAATCCTTATGATATTCCTATATGCAAACTCTCTCTATTTGGATAACTTATTTCTTTTTTGCCTAACTACTCTTGATAAGACCCATGTTATAATGTTTAGTAAAAGTAGTATGCTAACAAATCCCTATCTTGTTCCTATTCTTTTTTTATTTTAGCTTAGGTTCATCTTTACCTTGCTGTGTAACCTAGGGTGGCGTTGAACTTCTGATTCTTTTGATAATACCCCTGAGTTCTAGGACTTCAGACCTGCACCACGACATTGAGCTTATGCAGTGCTAATGACGGAACCCAGGCCTCTGTGCATTCTAGGCAAGCTCTCTTCTGACTGAACTACATCTCCAGTCCCCTATGTCATCTCTAATTTCAGTGAAATCAGTTTTCAACATTAAATTGTAATGCTAATATCAAATTTTATTTAGATTCTGAACAAATTTTGCATTTGGGAATCCTGTATATATAGCTCATAAGAAATGGTTGTGGATTGGCTGCAAGAACTGTAATTAGTTAACCTATATAGATGACTGAATGCCAGGAGAATCCATATTAATACTGCATATTATAACAAAGCTGGGTGCATGTCAATGCTCTAGTCACGATAAAAGCTTGCTATTTTTTTAGTGAGTGTTATGCTTCTGTTTCAAGGAAACAAATGGTTTTCTATTTCATATGTTGATACTTTAGTGTAAATATGCTGCCACCCATTAAGGCTGTTTAAGGCAGGCTCTGAAATCTATTAGTGGGTTATAAACATCAATTTTTTTCATCTTGCATCGTCTTACTTATTCTAGCTGCCAATGTAAGCCACTCATTTCTATGATAGTTTATAACATAATGATTTTCCTTTCTGAATTTATTGTTTAGAAAAAAATGTATGTCAAAACTGCCCATTTGCAGTAAAATAATTAGAAACTCATTATATAATATCAATCAGAATAGAGATATCTCTGACTGTAGGCATTTATGCTACATTGATTAATGACAAAATATGTTTGCTTAAATATATGTACTTTTACAAATAGATGAGACACATAAACTGTGGGGCTACTAAAATAAATAGAAAAGGTGAGGCAAATTTGGTGATATTGCTATACTAACCCATTGTGTTGTAACATTTTATTCTATTCAAGAAATACAGTATGATCATTTTTATAATCCATTGCTGTATTATATTATCTCAACTCTGTGCTGAAATCCAGTTCACCAAAGAGTGGATGTCTCTCTTTGAACCTGTGTGGCACACTCAATATACAGATGGATCTCTCTGAATATGTAATGAATGGCACACTCAACATGCAGAAAAATGACAGGACTGAGTCTCTTCTCTATCCTTTAGTAGCTTTCCTTCTTGCTTCAAGAATAAGGTTGTCATTAAAGAAATACATGATGGGAAATGATAGAAAAAAGGAAGTATTGTTGCCTTCCCTAGGATAATCCACATTGCGGATCAAGGTCTAAGATTGTGGCAGTTCAAATAAAAATGTCCCCCTGTAGGCCTTTCAGGATGTGTGGCCTTGTTGAAGAAAGTATGTCATTAGGGCATGAGCTTTGAGATCTCAGAAGTTCAAGCCTGGTCAGTGTGTCACTAGATCCAGATGTATAACTCTCAGCTACCTCCTCAGCACCATGTCTGCCTGTATGCCATCAGGCTTCCTGCCGTAATGAAAATGGACTAAACTTCTGAACTGTAATCCTGCCTCAATTAAATCTTTTCCTTTATAAAAGTTGTCCTGGTCATAGTGTCTCTTCACAGCAATAAGACCCGAACTAAGACAAAGATGACATTTCCCTACAATAAAATGAAGGATGTGACCTTCCACAGCCAAGTTCTCCAAGCTGATGGGTTAACCAGAAGTCCTCAGAGAGCCTTGTTTAATATTCTACAAAGACTTGTCTGGGGTGTGCAAGCAGTTCATTCTATGTTGTTTATTATCAATCTCTATTTGAAAGGCTGATGCAGTTTGAAAACATGTTATTCCCATTCAAAATATTTGTATAACTAGCCATTAGATCTTGTTTTTCTTAAAATTGGGGAATATATGTATCTATAGACTAGCATTTATCATTTGGACAGACAATAAGCCAGTATTTAATCTGATAAGTGATATCATGGTAAAGAAAACATTATAGTTACTTTTAAATGTCCCCTGGCAGATCCAAAATAATCTGCATAAAATGCATACTGAATTAAAATATGATTATCATTTTAAATTATTTAAATCATTAAAATATGGTGATTATTGCAATAGCATAACCTGAAATACAGTAAATAATATAGTTTAAGCATTGATTAGAGCATTATTTTAAGACACAATCCTAAATACTCAAATTCTGAGTAAAACTAGAAAACAAGATTTCTTACCAAATTTGCGATGATATAATGGTAGCCTTTGACATGCTTCCCAACACTCACAATCTATTAATACAAGAAATGAGAGAAAATTTAACTTTATTAAAACATTACTTAAAACATTAAAAGAGTATATGAAGTTGGGGGAAAGGGGTGATGGCAATATAAGAGGAATTGGAGGGGAGTGGGAGTGCAAATTTGATCTAAACACATTCTAGTCATGCATGAAGTTCTTAGCAAATAAAAATTATCCAGGGCTGGTGGGATGGATCACTGGATAGAGGTGCTTTCTACCAAGCCTGGTGGACTGCATTTGGTTCCCAGGACATACTTTGTGAAAGGAGAGAGAACAACAGTACACATTGTAATCTGACCTCTACATGTGTACCATGCATGCACAAAATAAAATATTAACTACTGCAGTATAATTTCCTATAGAATGTGATGGGAAAACAATGTCATGTGACTTATACAAGTGGAACGCTATAATCAGAAGAACTCATAAACCACATTAAAATACACTGTTAAAGCAAAACTATTATTTAATTTCATTCATACTTTATTAATTACAAATAGTTTTCTCTACCCTTTTGGAAAAGCTATAATATTATAATTTCCCCAGAGAGATTAATAGTGCTAGCAACTGTTCATATGTATTTCTCAAGGGAGTAGAAATACTACTTTCCTGATCTTAAAGTTCCTCTGTCTGGGTGAGCACTGAATTCCATATCAGTCCATCCCATCTCTTACCTCCCTTGACCGTAGTCACCTTTTGTTCTCATTTGTTGAAGATTTTCTTCATGCACAGCTATAAATGTATGATATTTTGCATAGAATTTGTACATTTTAAGATCTGTTCAATGTATCTACCCTATAATTTATCCATCAATTCAAACTTCCTTTGAGAAGCTTGCCACAAAGGTGAAGAAAAAACAATAAGCTGACAGAATTAAAAAGAAAAGCCAGCAAAGAGACATCCTAGTTCGTTTTCTGTTCTGTGATAAAGATCATAATCAAAAGCAGGTGTGGTAAAGGGTTTATTTGGTTTAGAAGTTACAGTGCATCATCAAGGAAGCCAAAACACGAACTCAAGGCAGGTACCTTGAGATAGAAACGGAAGCAGAGGATGTGCAGGAGCATTGATTACTGGGTTGCTTTCCGTGGCTTGCTCAACCTTCTTTCTTATAAAACTCCGGGCCATCTAGACAGGGATGGCACCACCCACAGTGGCCTGGACACTCTCATATCAACCATTAATAAAGAAAATGTTCCACAGATTTTCTACAGGCCAATCTGATGAATTATTTTCTCATCTGGAGGCTCCCTCTTCCCAGATGACTGTAGCTGCATCAAGTTCACAAAAAACTAATCAGCACAGGAGACATTTACTAAGTTGTCATATTGATTGTTTCAAATGGACAATGGCTGGGCGGTGGTGGTGCATGCCTTTAATCCCAGCACTTGGGAGGCAGAGGCAGGCGGATCTCTGTGAGTTTGAGGCCAGCGTGGGCTACAGAGTGAGTTCCAGGAAAGGCGCAAAGCTACACAGAGCAACCCTGTCTGGCAAAACCAAAACAACAACAAATCAAAAAACAAAAAATCAAATGGACAATGTCAGACTTGGGGTTTTACCAAAGTAGATAATATTTTATGTTTAATAAGTCTGAGTGATTTCACCTTGAGTACAGGCCACCTGTGTACTTGACATTGTTGCTTCAGGAAAGAAACAGTTTGAGATGGAAACTATAAATCTAGTATACTTCTGCCCTCTTCAAGGGTGGTTGGTCATGTTGTCATAGGAAAGTGATATTAATGTGGAGACTTGGCTGTAAAATATAATTATCAGCTTTCATAATGACAAGCTGGTGTAGTGGTAAAGGAGCTGGACCACCTGAATTGAAAGAGGCAATGTGACTACATAAATAGTAATTATCAAGTGTCTGCTTAGAGTTCTGAAAAACAAGTCAGCAAGGATGTACCAGCTATAAAAGGAGTTTGTCTTTTCAATAATACATGCTTAAGAGATAAGATGAATTTGAATCATGCAATTGCTTTTTCTTGCTTCTGTTTCAGCAAACAGATACTTCTTTAGAAATATCAATGATACTGGTCAAATAATTCAGTTGCAAAACAAGGAGCATGCATAAATAAGTCAGTGTTATGACGTTTATATCTGATATTGGTATGATAAATTGTCATTGATATAATTTCTAATCCCTTCTTTCTGGCTTGCAAATTCATCTCTCTATACCTACAGAGTAGTGCAAACTCAGGCCTCATCAGAGAAGTTTGTGCAGGTGGACATCAGTTAATGAAGAAACTTACAACTGGTCAAAGTGTAGAGAATAAGTGTCTGTGGTGTGCTCAACCACAAATAGGACATCTCTATCAAAACTTCTCCCCCAAAGGCTAAGAGACATTTTTAAAGAGGGGGCAAGTAGGATAGAAGAGCCAGGATTTAGGGAGGCCCAGACTGAAACAGTGTCTTCTGGACATGATAGGACCAACTGTGCTCAAATGAACTCACAGCATCCATGGATTTTGGCACAAACCTGTACAGGATCAAGCCAGTCAACTTTTTATAATGGAGGAGTTAGCAGCTCACAAGCCCCCACACCAGCTGGCAGTTGATGTCTTCCAGAAAAATCACTTTTCTCTAAGGTCTTTTCAGGTGGATGGTTTGCCAGTGGAGGGCACACACTGGACTTAGTGAGTTATTTATAAAAAACAATAACAAGAAACTCAGGTATTAGGGGAGAGGGATGGATCTATTGTGGAATATTATTTTATGTAAAGATGTATTACATTTGTTTATGCTGCATTTGTTTGTGTTGTGGAATATTACTTTGACTAGGCAAAGATGTATTACATTTGTTTATGCTGCATTTGTTTAATTCTATGAAGATTTGTTGCTTTTTTATCTTGACTGCCCAAAGCAGCCAATTGGTCTAATAAAAATCTGAATGTCCAATAACTAGGCAGAGGAGGGACAGGCAGGGCTGGTGGGCATAAAGAATAAGGAGGAGGAGGAATCTGGACTCTGGAGGAGAACATGGGAAGAGAGAATGAGAGGAAAAGAGAGGGAGAAGCCCAGGGCTAGAAGCCAAGTAGTCACCAGCCAGCCAGACACGGAGGAAACAAGAAAGTAAGATATACAGAATAAAAGAAAGGTAAAAAGCTCCTAGGCAAAATGTAGATAAAGAGAAACAGATTAAAACAAGACTAAGATAAGGCCAATCATTCATAACTAATAACAAGTCTTTGTTTCATGAATAGGGGAGCTGGTTGGTTGCCCAAAAGAAAGCCTGCTACATGGATCCAAGAGGAGTCAGGGGAAAGAGGGTGGGATAATGTGATCAAAATACATTGTATGCTTGACATAATATAACAGTTTAACACACTGCTAAAAATAAGCTAAGGCCATTCTTCCTATACTCTTGGTCTCTACTCACTTATTTCCTTAGCTTTCACAAACATCCAAAACTTTGTCATTTGTCATAGTGGCCACATTTGCTCATTTCCCTTCAGAGCCAACTACAATTTTACCAGTAATCCAACTAAATCATTTGAAGTTTATATGAAATGTTATTTCATTGTTCGGGGACTAGCACCTTCCCTGCATTTAGTAACATATTAATAACTTTGTGATCATGCATTTTACAATTTGCATATGTATAATCATATTAAATAGAAGTGGGGTTAATTATAAACGTAACATGCACGACCACCGAGTTAATCTCTTTGCTTTTATTTTGATAGGATATTTTTGCATCTGTGCTCATTGGGGCATTTTAATATTAATACTTCAATTAGTTAAGTAAAAGAGAATGTAAGTACTTATAAAGTGAATTTATAGGAAGCAAATATGAGAGCAGATATTCAGTCACAACAAATAAGAATTGACCTGAATATCCTCTACCTGAAGGCTAGCTTTTATGGTACCATAAGATTCCATGCAAGATTTCAAAGGAGAGAAGCCACCAGTAGTCCTACCCAGCTATAATGCCTATGAATCACATCAAGGACCAGCATAGTAAGATAGACCTATGGATGTAGTAGTGGTATACATGTCTTGGTGATAACAATAGCTCTCTAATTGAACTTAAGACTCACTCAACATGTGGGGTACCATGATTGGTACTGGAAATACAGCTAAATAAACAGTGCTAGTGAAATCATAGTCATTGGAGGAGAACCTATAAATACTAATTTACTTAACTAGCATAATCCCTAACAAAAATCTAGAAACATTTGTTCTTATAATCACAGATAAGTGTAGTCTTCACCCCTCAACAAGGAAATTTCTCTTTGAAACAAATAGAGACCACCACAGGAAACCACAAACCAATCAAGAGGCAAAGTTTTGGAGCTCAGTCACAATGGGTACATCTACAAAATACTCTCATACCTAAGGCTCAGGTAGCACTGTGCAAGAGGAGGTGGGAAGAAAATTAAGAATTAAAGGATCAGGGAGTTTGGTGTGAGATTGTGTCTCCTAATAACATCAGAAGTTGCAACCATGAAGTCTCACCAGCATGACCACCCAAACATGAGCTGAACATTGTTGGTCATGGACAACAATGAATATGCTAAATTGCTTGGGGAAAGTCCATGAGGCTTCAATTCTATAGAAAGAACTATAGGCAACTGAGGAAAGCTGGGAGCAGGAGGAATGGTCTTCCCTGGGGAAGAGCACATCGATTGGTTTTGCAATGCCAAGCAGTCAGCCCTGAAAACATACATTGAAGTGAACTCAACAGGTTATATCTGGGAATACATATGTATATACAAATATATTCATATGAGAGAGAGAGGACAGACAGACAGACACACACACACACACACACACACACACAGAGAGAGAGAGAGAGAGAGAGAGAGAGAGAGAGAGAGA